ACAGGACTGAGTATTGGAGGATTCTGGCTACACTGGGGTGCTGTGTTGATTTAGAGTACTGACCACCAGGTACAGGACTGAGTATTGGAGGATTCGGGCTACACTGGGGTGCTGTGTTGATTTAGAGTACTGACCACCAGGTACAGGACTGAGTATTGGCAGCAGGTGTACTTTAGTCGTTTACTGGGTTTGGGGGCAGGCCCTGAATTGTCCAGTTGGTTCTACTATGGCAGTTTAAAGACAGAGATCAGGAAGTAGTTATATCATGGAATAGCGGAGCTGTACTTCACAATTCCTTAATAGCTTCCAATTTAGTATAAAATTCTACAACCTGTGGAGTCAGAGAAACTTGGAAAGCTAAAGGAGTCTGAGGCGAATCTCACATGGACTAAACTGATGGCTCTTTTCAATTTTTATTGATCCTATTTTATGTTAACATTCATGTATATATCTATAGAAATCCTAATGCATTAGATGGTGAAATGTTGGCTACATAGACAGTTGATATCCACTATTATCTAAATTTTTAATTCTAAATTCTAAAATTGATCTGGTTCTGAAATTTGCATATAAAAGACTGAGCCTCTTATATGTGTTCTGTATACTCAGTAAAGTTATGGACACAGAAAGACAAAGTCATAAACAAAAACCTTGGGCATTAAAATTACACGCGTAGGTGGTTCACATCCTAGAGTTCCTGTTTTTATTATTAAATATGTGACCTTAGAAAAGTCACATGATCTACTATTTTCCCAGTTTGCCCCTCTAAAACTGTGGGATAATAATAAGGATTAGTGCATGGTGTCATGTAATGCACTGAAAATCCAGCTTATTAACACAGAGTAATGTCTGATTACAGATTAGAGACAGTCACTACACATTCTGTGAAATTGGAAGATTTCTTACAATAAAATACTGTGCCAAACTCTGACCTTCTAAACAGAAATCTCATGGTTATGGCCATGTGTTTTATTTTCGTTTTTAATAGGAAACAGATGATTATAGATATTTTGATCCCAAAATGCTGCGGAGCAATGACAGGTAAGGAGGGAGCTTTTCTCCTGGGTGGTGTTTGGGGTCGGTTCCCTCGGGGAATGGAATAATGCTGTATTATAAGACAGCCTGCGTTCACTAAAAGTCTAACTGTAGGAGACCAGTTAAAAGGTGTGTGTTTGAATCTCCTTCAGAGCTAATCACTGGTGATTCTGATTAGTATCTTGTTATTTTCCCTTAGTGTATACAGAGAAGTAAATTTAGCTGTGTACTATTTATGAAATGGTGTTCTCATAAACAGAGTGGGGGACTTAGAGAAATTGTTTTTAAATGAATATAGTTATTGGACTAAATGAAAATAACTGTGTTGGAAACAGTTGTTTAAGGTGGTGGTTTGTTATGGCTGTGAAATCCATGTCCATGAGAAACATTTCTATAAAAGTATTTTATGGCAACAAAACCACTCACTGTATAGTTTCTGCGTTTTATGAAAGACACAGTATGGTAATTTACCTTGGTTATGTTACTTTTCAAGAGTTAATTCAGGGTAGTATGAAAAATAACCTAAAAGACAGATAACATTGAAGGAAATAACTGGATGTCCCTAGCACTAAAACTCTGGGAGCAAGTTTCTTGCCTGTTTCTGACTTGAAAGCTTCAGTACTTTGTATTTGCCCTTGTCTCAAGCATTCAGATCTTTGTGGGTTGTCAGGACCAAGGACCTAGCTGCTAGATTATTAGGTAATTCAAGTGTTGTTCTCTTTCCTGGACTTAGCACAGGTGCTGTTACATAAGAACTGCTAATAATAACTGTCACTGGCAGGAGAGAAATCCGACAGCAAATTATAGAACAGAGGAATGGGCACTGACCACCAGGGGGACAGGGTTTTCTTTCAGGAGTGATAAGAGTGTTAGATTGGAGAGTGATGTTTGTACATATACTAAAACCCATGAGCTTTGCTTCAAAAGAGGTCTGTCCTAGGAATTCTTCCTTGTGCTTGGCTAAGCAGGAGCCATAGAAGCTGAGGAGTGTTTCATCCTAAATGTAGCATGTGATAACGAGAAGGAATGTTATATTGCTAAAACAAACAGGCTCACAGCGTTCTTTTTGCAGTCTTTTCCTGGGCTATCTTGTCCCAAACCATGGTTATTAATAACTTGTGGTAAAGTGCTATTTAAGTCTCCTGTCTGCTTCAGTGGAACTGTTGAGAATTAAGATCAGGTGGACATCTCGCCATCTCTGTGGAGCATGGACTGTTTAAACAGGCTGTAGATGTGAGAAAAGATGGCAGAGATGGCTGAACTAAACAGTCCACATCGAGGAGGTGTAAACTCTCCTTACCACACTGGACACTCCTGTGAATAGAGATCTGACATGTGAATGCTTGGAAAGATGTTGAGTGCAGATTTCTTAGGTGCCAGTGAAGGGTTTTTACAATCTGTGATGTGTGATCAGTAAGAAGCTAGAGCAGAGTGTAGATGTCTCCTCCCATTTCCCTTCCATCCTGAGGAAGAGGCCCACAGCTGTGTGATTGTTAGAGCGTGGTGAAAATGTCACTCGTGACCTGCTTTATTGCTTCACCTGTTCCCAACTTCCTTCCCTTCACATAGAGGTTATCAGTCAGCCTTCTAGAATACATGTCAGAGTGGTCAGTAGGCCGTCCCATTCCCTTTTAGACATTGAGATATCTACCTTCTAGCTCCTTCCTCTACAAAACTGAAGAACCCCAGCTTCCCAAGAAGGTGGACCTGGAGTACCTTCTTAATGCTGCGCACAAGTGCACATGAACATGTATTTCCCATCCCCGTCTTACCTGTCATAGAAGCCAGCGATGAAATTTTCAGTGCCATTTCTCTTTATTGCAGCTCAGTTCCTAGGAACAAAAATCCATTCCAAGAGGTAAGTTTTACATAAAATTTCTCTGCTCCTAGAAAGATAATTTAACAGTAGTCCTGAGGCAGAACAAGTTTGTCCTAAGCGTAGCTCGCTTGTGATCAGTGAACAACCATTGAGGTAAATTCAACTCTGCACACCCAAGAGACTGCCTTCAAGTCCTCAGCACCTGTATTGCGCTGGCTTTCTTCAGCTTAAGAATGACAGAATGGCAGAAAGGGGTCTTTTGGATAGCAATGAGGATTTTACATGTGGGATTTCGGCATTTGTGAAGATGTGACTATATGTTCATTTGAACTATATGTTCATATTGTCACTCATCTTGAGTGACATGTTGAAGTTGCACATTGGGTTTTCCAATGTTCCTGCCTATAGCAAATAGTAAAGATTGAGAACTACCCTTCAGTGAAAGCCCTGCGCTCATTTGCTCTTACTTGACTAGTAATGCAGTTAGACCCTGGCAGAGCACTGGGTTTGTGAGTGGAGCCTTCCGCAGTCTGGTCTCAGTCTCAGGACAGGCCCCAGACTAAAAGCCATGCTGCTTGAAAAATAAAATGCTTGTAACCGTGTTTTCACCTTTCTCCTTCAATTGCATTTTAGGCCATTGTCTTTGTGGTAGGAGGAGGCAACTACATTGAATATCAGAATCTTGTTGACTACATCAAGGTACAGTTGGGTTGTCTCACTCTGTCATTTGGTGGTATCATTTTCATTGTCCAGCACCTATCCTGACCTCTGCACAACTACTTTCCAAGAGGTGGTTTTTAAGTTCTGTGTGTGGGCAAGACACAGTGGCCCAGGCCTGGAATCCAGGAGGATCACTTGAGCCCAGGAGTCCAGGGCAAGTCAAGGCCACATGGCAAGATCTCATCTCTTATAACAATAATAAAAATTAAAATGCTATATACAGAGAAAATTACCGATTTGATTATTTTCCTATCATACTCATTTTCCTACTGAAATTGTACTGGACTAGAAAATAATATATCATATTGATATTTAGTATTTGGGTGCTCACGTTACGCTTTAACTGTTTAGAGATCTCAAGCTTGTCTTCTGAGTATTATCTCCCTTGAGATAATTTATAGAATTCATTTATCTGACTAATACATGCTTTACATTTCAATTGAATTAACTTAAATCAGCCACATACTTCTAAAAAGTATTTAAGGTAGCAAATTAGAAATGATGGAATCCTACTTTAAGCTATGAATGACAGAAAACTAAAAATACATGAAGCAGGAAGCCTAATTTGAAGACCAAAAAAAAAAAAAAAAAACAACTATTGGCTGGAGAATTAGCTAATGTTATAAAATAAAATGACATTTTATAGTTATTCCGTTATTGTTGAGGTATGATCGGTCATTCTTTATGTCCTCATTACAATGGCATTAATGGAAACTATGGTATAACCGGGAATACATAACTCCCAGGAATCTGACTGGATAGATTGTCTTCAATTATGAGCACTAATGTATTTTTAAGAATCAGATCAGGGGGCTGGAGAGATGGCTCAGAGGTTAAGAGCACTGACTGCTCTTCCAGAGGTTCTGAGTTCAATTCCCAGCAACCACATGGTGGCTCACAACCATCTGTAATGAGATCTGGTGTGAAGGTACACATGCAGGCAGAACACTGTATACATAACAAATAAATAAATAAATAAATAAATAAATCTTTAAAAAAAAAAAAAGAATCAGATCAGGGGGTCCCTAGTCTTGCACAAGAAAGGGCTTCATTTTACATGCACACATACATGCAGGCTCAAGGACAGGTTTGTACTGGAATATTTGGTAAGCTAAATTTTTTTTAAATCACCTGGTTTGCCAGCTAATGCAGATGATTAGTGTTTGCTGCTCACTGTCTTCCTGCTATGTAGATGCTATGAAAGACTTAAGAACAAGGAGCTGCATCACTTGAGAACGCTGAGCCCAGCTGGGCAGAGGGGAGGGAGGTAGAGCAGGTATCTCAGCTGGCCTGCTGCAGCCCTGTCCAGACCTGAATGAAGAGGTAGGATCCGAGTGCTGTGCTAGGATCCAAACAGATCAGGGCAGCCCACACTGATGTGCCAGCATTGCGTGCTAGGAACTGGAAAGATTCATGGTTTGCGACCGATTTCTGTTAGTCTCTTCGTTTCTGCTATTGAACCACAAATGAAGCCTGATTTTGTCTACATGTCCAGAAAGAAATAAGTGCCTTCCACTTGAATAAGACCAGGGTTCTTCCTAATCAAGCACGTGTGGAGTATTTCTTGGTGAATGAGATGTGTCCTGTACTCCTGGGATGATATTTTGACCGATTATCTGCCCTGCTATCGGTGGCTCTTGCAGGTTTATTCTGTTTGGCATCAAGAACCCAGCCATATGACCTTTGGTACTTGATGTGTGTACCATCCCTCCCCCTTTGTAATGTAACTAAGCTGCTGCTCTTGTTCTGTTTGTTCCCGGAGATGGGCCAGCTAGGACTGGGGTGTGTTTGTGTTTCATTTTTATTTATTTTTACGGGTGTGGGTGTTTTGCCTGCATGTATGTCTGTGCACTACACTTGTACAATGCCTGCCGAGGCCAAAACAAAGCAACAGAGCCCCTGGCACTGGCGTTACAGACAGTCGTGAGCCGCCAAATGGTGCTGGGAACCATACCCAGGTCCTCTGCAAGAGCAGCAGGTGCTCTCTTAACTACAGGTCCATTTCTCTAGTCCCAAGGACTGGACTTCTGGTTGGTTGATTGGTTGGTTGGTTTTTGTTAATTTATTTGCTTTAAAATGGAGCCTCACACTGTAGCTGGAGCTGAACTAGAACTCAAGGCAGTCCTCCTGGCTCAGCCTCACAAGTGCTCTGCTCACAGCCTGCCACCACACCCTGCTTTAAGTCATTGACTGAGCCAATGTTTATTCTGTTTACACATCACAGGGAAATTACTTCCTCTTGTGCATGAAACCACAATCTTGTTTCTTGATGGATTAGCAAATTAATTTGATAGAAATTTTGCACATTGTAAACTCAGCTCGATGACATACTTAAAGAATATGGGCATAAAGAACCTCACCAGGTGTGGTTGTGAAGCCTACAACCCCAGCTCTCAGGAGGCTAGGGCAGGAGGATAGAGCGTTCAAGGCCAGCCTGGGCTAAAATAACAAGATCCTGTCTCAAAAGAAAAATAAGTAAGTAATGAAATATTTGCCTGAATTCTCTAGTAGAGAAATTTTGTGTTTGCTTCCTAATATTCTGTCAACTTCAGAAATAAAATTCAGGGTTACAGTATAGAATGGGCTGCATTGACAATACTGTATTACACAGTGTATAGAATGGGCTGCATTAACAATACTGTATTACACAGTGTTTAGAATGGGCTGCATTAACAGTACTGTATTACACAGTGTATAGAATGGGCTGCATTAATAATACTGTATTACACAGTGTATAGAATGGGCTGCATTAATAATACTGTATTACACAGTGTATAGAATGGGCTGCATTGACAGTACTGGATTACACAGTGTATAGCATGGGCTGCATTAACAATATTATATTACACAGTGTTTAGAATGGGCTGCATTAACAGTACTGTATTACACAGTGTATAGAATGGGCTGCATTAACAATACTGTATTACACAGTGTTTAGAATGGGCTGCATTAACAATACTGTATTACAGTGGACAGTATAGCATGGGATGCATTAACAAATACTGTATTAGACAATGGGACTGAAAATACAAGCCCACATCATCTTGCTTTCAGCATCAAAATTCTCTTAGTATTTTCTTCAGGGAGCACAGATCATACCTTGAAACAGTATTCATCTAAGATTGTATAGACAGCTGTTGGTCCTATGAAAGATAACAATATCAGCATGCCATAATACACTTTTTTGTTCATCTATGATTGCATAGACAGCTGTTAGTCCTATGAAAGATAACAATATCAGCATGCCATAAGATACTAATTTTTGTTCATCTAAGATTGTATAGACAGCTGTTGGTCCTATGAAAGATAACAATATCAGCATGCCATAAGACACTTTTTGTTCATCTAAGATTGTATAGACAGCTGTTGGTCCTATGAAAGATAACAATATCAGCATGCCATGATATACTACTTTTTGAAGGAAGAAAAAAGCATGTTTGTGCCCATTTCACCACTTTATTCCTGTTTGTTTAGGCAGTTTAGGGGACACACATGCACACACACACACACAGACATGGACACACAGACACGGACACACAGACACATACTTTAAATCTAACACCACCAGTGGACAAAAGACTTTCAAGAATAGCCCTCTCAGCCGGGTGGTGGTGGCGCACGCCTTTAATCCCAGCGCTCAGGAGGCAGAGCCAAGCGGATCTCGTTAAGTTCGAGGCCAGCCTGGTCTACAGAGTGAGGTCAGGACAAGAATAACCCTCTCCCCAGAACACCCAGCAGGCTTTTTTCCCTGAGAATGTATATACTGTCTCTTGTTCACGGTTATATCTGAATTCTGTGTCTGCTTTTTACAGGCAAAGCAAGGCAAACATATTTTATATGGCTGCAGTGAGCTTTTCAATGCCACACAGTTCATAAAGCAGGTAACGTGTGCCTTTTTAGTTTGTTTTCTTAACATAACACCAGTTGATGTTGGGTCTCTCCCCTTTGAAAACTGTCACTTAGCCGGGCTGTGGTGGTGCACGCCTTTAATCCCAGCACTCGGGAGGCAGAGCCAGGTGGATCTCTGTGAGTTCGAGGCCAGCCTGGGCTACCAAGTGAG